GTGAGTTTGGTGTCAGGTTCCATGAGAAAAGAATGGTGGGCTAGTATTTTTGGAGCCTCAAATCTGGAAGGGCTTGCCTGTTAAGGTTTAACAATTTCAAAGAATGGACCTGGAGGTCCAGCAGCGGAAAACACGAGTTTATTTACATAGAACAGAGCAGGATGGGATGTATCAGTGATGCCTGGCCATAAATGATCCAATGACAGCTGGGTGGGGTAAGTGATCTGTGCTTTCAGAGAGCATAGGCTTAGGTGATATAAGTTAAGAATAATGCATTTGTGGGACCAGCAGTTAGTGTAATGGCTATGTTGTTGGACTCCCATGTAGTCGACAGTGGTTCGCGTCCCGGACGCGGGGGCTTAAAACTCACGCCGGGCGTGTATGTGTGCGTGCCCAAGATCCGGTGAGGAGAATGGAGGAGAAGGGATTGCAACGTGGCCATCCCCCCTGGGGGGTGATCTCTCGCTTTCTGTCTCTCTGTCTCTTGCTGTTTGTCTGGCGAGCGTATGCGCCCTATAGCAAAAAACCTCTTTTAAAAAAAAAAAGAATAATGCATTTGTAAAGCAATCAAAGATCAGTGCAGGCTTTCTGCCTTCAAGACAGAAAGGGTCTAGTTTCTGCACACTTTGAGGATTACAATAAAAGGTTATCTTATCAGTTAACAGAATAACAGTGTGTGTAAAGGGTTTAGTGTCTCCAATCTTTTGATGTTGGTATGGGAGGTGTGTGCATACTTCCAGAACTCCCTAGCCATGGGCATATTCCCTGAGGTAAAAGTAAAGATCATGTCTTTGACTGGATGGATGCGCAGTGTATTCATGATGGAAAAATTTATTTGGTATGTTGTAATGATACACAGTGGTTAAATGTATTTAAAAAAAAGAAAAAGTAATGGTCACAAAATACTTAGGAGCCCAGCTGTGGCCTATAGTGTGTGTCAGAAAAACGGGGACAAAAGGGGAGTGAAGGACATTCAGTGTATGGAGCATACACACACCAACTTCTCTCTTGTAAGGGACTGATGCTGACTTCTGAACTCTACCTAAAACCAGATCTTGGATTGTCTTTTCATTATTGAGTTGTAAGAGTTTCTCATATAATGAGGATATAAGACACTTAGAAGGTATATATTTTCTATCAATAAATATTTTCTCATCCTGTGGATTTTCTTCCCCCATTTTCTTTTTTTTTTTTTTGGAGAGGTTTTTGCGATAGGGCGCATGCGCTCGCCAAACAAGAGAGAGACAGAGAGACAGAAAGCAAGAAATCACCCCCCCCCAGGGGGAATGGCCACGCCGCCATCCCTTCTGGAATCTTGGGCATGCACGCACATGCGCCCGGTGTGAGTTTTAAGCCACCGGGTCCAGGACCCGAACCGCAGTCGACTACATGGGAGTCTAGCGACATAGCCATTACGCTAACTGCTGTTCCCTCCCCCATTTTCTTGATGGTTTTATTTTCAGCCTAATTATTATTATTATTTTGCTAGTGGATGTTGTGCTTGCCAGAGAGAGAGAGAGAGAAGAGGAAGAGAAAGAGCACAATAGTGAGTGAACAAAAGAGAGGAGAAAGCACCTACCATGGGGAATATCATACCACGATTCCTTCTCTTCCATCTCTCCCTCCTTTTAGGATTTTGGGCACACATGCACACATGCCTGGCATGTTTGTCAGGCCGCCAGATCCAGGACATGAACTGTGTGGTCAGCCATATGGGATCCAACAACCTTAACCATCAGTCCACAGAGCTGACTCAAGCCTAAATGTTTTTAATTTTGATTTGATACGGTCTATTTTTTTTTTTTTTCTTTTCTCATTTGTGCTTTTGATATCTTATCTAAGATACTATTACTTAACCCAAGGCCATGAAGATTTACTACTCTTTTTTCCCTCTGAGTTTTATAGTTTTAGTTCTTACATTTAGATGTAAGATCCGTTTTAAGTTTTGGGTCTTTTCTAAGACAGAGGCCGACTTCATTTTTTGCATGTGGGTAGTCAGTTGTACTAGCACTATTTGTTGAGGAGACTGACCTTTCCCTATTTATATCTTACTATGAATCTGAAATACTTTAAAGTATGGAGTTTGCTATCCTCAAATTTTTGTATTTGTGTTCAAATTTGAGAAACTGTGTCTTCTTTGTGTTCAGGTTCAAAACAATGTTCCACCAAATAAGGTATCTTTAGGCTACTGCTAAAAGTATCTCTGTGGCCTGTGGATGAAGTGTTTTCTTCTTATCTTGAGAGGGCTCCTAATTTTGAGTAGAAGAATAAGTTCTGCACTGTGTTCTGCAGAGGTTACAAAATTACATCCTGTAAACTAGTTTTTCTGTTAGCTTGACAAAATGGCTGACATTCCCCTGAATTAAAACTACTTTCAAAATGAACATCTTATTTGAATGGAGCAAACACTAGTAGCAGTTAACATGCAAATTCCAACATAAGTTTCAGGTAATCTATATATTACTTAACTGAGAAGAATGCTTTGGAGGAAGAGGCAGGAAAGTGCTGATGGAGGAGAGAGCATGGGGGGATTTAATGCATAGTTATGTTGTCCTGAGGTTGGTTCCTGCACTGGGTTTCATGAAACAGATAAGGAGACTTTAAAAGACTGTGTAATGTAGTGACTCAGATCACGTACTCTGAAGGCAGGCTACCTGGTTTGAATCCTGGTTCCATATGTGCTATTTGTGAGAACTTTGGCCTAGTTTAAACAACTTGCTCAACTCATTTATTGAGTATCAGTTATACTGCACTACCAAGTGTTCCTTGGTAAAGAAAAGAGAATTTTGAGATCTAAAGGACTCATTCATTGTAGATAACCCTGGCATCGAGTGACTTCAGACTTCTCTGCCTGATTTCCATATTTCATCTCATTTTACTCACACCCACACTTTTTATTATCTAGCTCCCGTGGTCTCCTTTCTCTTCCTCAGGAAGTCCTTCCTTGCATCATTACTTTTGTATTTGCTCTTTCTTCCACATGAAGTTCTTTACCCCTATTTCTTTCCATGGCTTGCTCACTCATTTAAGTCCAAATATCAGCTAGGCTCACACTGCCTCCTGCCTTCTCGTTACCTTCTGTAGTACTTATTTGTAATATGTAATCCTCATTTATTTTCTTCCATATTGTCTTTCTCTTCTGTTAGAATGTTAGCCCTAGGAAGAAGGGGACAGCAGTGGTCTTACTCAGCATTGTGTCTCCAGTTCCTAGTGCAGTTTCTGTTACATCATTAGGGAGTGATTAAATACATGTTAAATATGTGATTTAAAACCGATACCTGAGAGGGACCAGCAGTTAGCATAATGGCTATGTCGCTGAACTCCCACGTAGCCGACCACAGTTCAAGTCCCAGACCCAGTGGCTTAAACTCAGGCCGGGTGCATGTGCGTGCATGCCCAAGATCCTGAGAGGAGAATGGAGGAGAAGGGATTGTGGCGTGGCCATCCCCCCCGGGGGGTGATTTCTTGCTTTCTGTCTCTCTGTCTTTCTGATGAGCGCATGCGCCCTATAGTGAAAACCTCTCAAACAAAAACAAAAACAAAGACAAAACCAAAAACCAAAAACCAAAACCAAAACAAAACAAAAAACTGATACCTGAAGGAGCCAGGCATTTTAAGGGGAGAAAAAGAGCTAAAGTGGGAAAGAGCACAGAAAGAAAGCTGGAATGTGTGATATCTTGGCAATCAAGGATTCATGGTAGTGCAGCATAGAAAACTATAGACATGGCTTATTATACCACATAATGTATTTTCATAAATTCAGAATATGCAGAGTGAGAAAAACATTTAGAGGGCAGATGAATGTGTTTGAAGGGTTTTAAAAAGAAAGTATATTTACACACATAACAAAAATAATAATGGCTAACTAATTATACTAGTCTAGGAGCATAGTTATTTATTTTTATTTTCTTGGAAACTTTTTTTGGTAAAGATGGACAGTAATTCATTTTTAAAAGTGTAACTTGAGGCTGGAAGTATATATATATATATATTTTTTTTTTCCCTAACAGTAGTGGTGATAGTGCCACCTAATGGCGAAATGAAATATTGTAATCACATTACTATGTGACAATGAAAAAGTAACCTAGTTAGAGAAAAAGAGAACATTTTGGGGAGTATTTTGGGCATGGGTCAGTATGTTCTCTTGTTCCCGCCTGTTTGTCCTGCTTGTAGAGTGATTTTGGGATTATCTTATTTGCTTGCTGGTTTCCTCACTAGTGTGTAAATTCCAGGATCTACCTTGTTCACTTGTGTGATCTCAGGGTTGAGCACAGTATCTGTTTTATAGAGTATGTCTTCAGTTAAAAAGAGTTGGGTAAATATATAAACTTCTGGAAATTATAGGGAGTTGAGTTTATGTGGTGTAAGAAGTAGAGTTCTATCCAGAAAACAGAATTACACTGTATTTGATTGATTATTGAAACATGTTTGCTATGTGACTCCAGTGTTGAAATAATTTTTCGTTTGTATTTGGTGTTGTAAGTGGCAATGTGTCTGGAGAAGAAGAGATAAATGACTTAAGGTATTGAAATCTAGATTAGTCAGTCACCTTCAATGACCCAGAAAAAGTATTTTAAGCTATAGAACTTAGTTTTGAGGAGGTAAGTTTTTCAAGAAGCATTTGGAACTGACAAAATAACTTCAGTGGATGTATTTTTTGTCTGAATTTGTAGGCATATCACGATTAATTATATTTATTACAAAGAACAAAAACAGTATTTCTAGGAGAAATAAGAGGAGAGCATGAGATAAACAGTGGTCATTCTGTTTAGTTGAGATACGGGCTTGTTTGTGTTGTTTTTCAGGGAACAATATGGTTCTTTTAGTCTGGAAGCTCAGGGTGAAGAGAGTACATTTCCATTATGTGGCCCTCCCAAGAAATTAGCCTTCCTGATTTTGCAATAGTTATCTAGACAGCAAAATTCTTCTTCAGATGGACCATTTTTAAAGCTCTATTACTTAATGTTTTTATTTAACACATATATATTTAAATCCTGCAGTTTTGGCAAGTGGATGTGGAAGAAAAGTTTGCAGAACAGAAATGGAGGTCAGAGCTTCCTTACAGAAGGTTAGTGGGTCATCTGATTCTGTGACTGCCCTGAACAGTGAAGAATTTGTTTTGGTTCCTCAGCACGCAGATGATACTTCTCTAAAGGATGATGAAAAGCCTCAGCTGAAGGTATTTCTTTCATTTCTAATATGTTAATATATTTAATTCACTTTTAAATTTAAACTAGTTGAATCTTATTTTGGGGAATGTGTAGAACTCAAAGTTTTTTCCCTGAAGTATTGACCTTGAGGGTAAAATTACTGTTTAATTTATCCAGAGGTTAGCTCTTGGGTTTGTATATTTTTAAAGTTTTTTGCTCTTGGTATTTACCTTCTTATTTACAACTTCTGGAAGAAAGGATAAAAGGGGAAAAAGAAGAGAAAGAATAATTGTTTGGTGAATTAGATCTAACGGTTAAATCCGATATAAGTTTTTGTTCCTTGTGCTCCTGGGTTTTAGAAGTTATTTATATAAATAGTTATGTTTTGCTTTCACTTAGATCTTTTTTTTTTATGGCTTGTATGTGTTAAATTAGCTGCTAACAGTCTGTTATGTGATTCAGCAGTTGACTTATCTGAATTTTTAAAAAAGTTTGTCATATTTTTAGCAGTTGAGCTCGTATTTGAATGTAGCCCTTTTTCTTTTTCATTTTTGTTGCTTTTTCTATATCAAAGAAAAAGGAGCAAGCAGACCTAGGTATATATATGCATGACAGTTATACAGTCAGCCTCCAGAAATAGTCATAGAAAACATAGTCAAAAGTGTTACATATTATATTTATGACTTTTATTTTGTATTAACTGTGGTATCAAAGGTATATTAATAGTAAGATATAGTGTATGAAATGAGACTATAAAAGTGACGGGTGAGTATGTGGTGCAAGGGGAGGAAACATTTGATAGGTGGAAAAATTAAAAAAAAAAAGTTTACCTTTTATGTATATTTCAGTTAAAAAAAGGAAGTAGGCAGAAAAGTGCCTGTTTAAAACTTTCACAGTCGAGGCCAGCAGGTGGCGTGTTGTTGAGATGCTGGATTCCCACATGGCCGACTGCAGTTCCAGTACCAGACCTGGCAGCTTACTTTCTCACTTTCCCTCTCTTTCTTTCTCTGGTCAAGGTTTAAAACGACAAAAAAAGAAATAATAAATAAAATAATTCTTTAAAAAAAAAACTTTCACAGTTTACATGTTACAACATTTTTCCTAATGAGCATGATAAAACCCCCAAAACAAACAAACAAAGACATCATTATTGAAGTGCCCAGATAATTATGATGCAAATGGCCTACAAACCCATGGTAAAAATGTTCAAAGCAGTACTTTACCTTACCTATAGAATTGGATTTTTTTTCTCTTCAGATTAACTTATAACTGGGTTATAATCAAAATTTTGTTCAACTCATGTGGAGCTGTAGGCTTCCGCCCTGGTAGGTAAATTCTAGACCGTAGCAGTACCTTACTTTTCAAAATGTAAGTAATAGCTGCCTTTGTAGGACAGATGGAATTTTGCTCAAGCATTTAGCCAATCTCTTATAATGAAATGTGGCTTCACCGTATTAATTCTCAAACAAGCACATGCTATAAAAAAAAAAAGGAGAGAGAATTAAATGCTCCTTTAATATTATGCTGAGAATATTTAGTTTTAAAATTTTATTCAAATGATCAATGGCCTTATTTTTAGATACCTGTATTTTTAGCATTGTTATGTGTAAGACTTAAGTTATTTACTTAGGTTTTGGATCTTACCTGTTTTTGTTTGTTTGTTTTTAAGATTTTTGCCATAGGGTGCATGTGCTCCCTGGAGACAGAGACAGTGAGAGGAAAAGTGAGAAATCACCTCTTAGGGGGATGGCCATGCAACAATTCCTTCTCCTCTTTTTTCCTCCTGGTATTTTGGGCACTCACATGCCTCTGGGACAATTTCAAGCTGCCCAGTCCAGGACTGGACCATAATCAGCCATGTGAGAGTTCCATATCTTAACCACTATGGCACCTGCTGGCCCTTCTTACCTGATTTGAAGAAAGAGATGAGTCAACCTAAACTATTGTAAATAAACCAGAAATATATTTATGCTTTGATAATAAATATGACCTTTAAAATGATATCTTAATAGACTATTTAAAAATCTGTTTATTTCCTTTAAAACATGTAAATTTAAAGTTATCGGGTTTTAAAGATGTGTTCCCCAAAAATAAAATAAAAATAAATCCCAGTGCTTTAAGTATTTTATGAAAACTCCTTTTGTGAAACTAATTATCCTACTCTAATTTAGTTGGTTTTATTATTCAGGATTTGAATGTATTGTATCTATGTGAAATTAGGTTTAAGTACATACAATTTTTTTTTTTGGAGAGGTTTTTGCTATAGGGTATGTGTACTCGCCAGAAAGAGAGACCGAAAGTGAGACGTCGCCCCCCAGGGGGTTGACCAAGCTGCAATCCTTTCTCCTCCATTCTCCTCTCGGGATCTTGGGCACGCACACACATGTACCTGGCGTGAGTTTAAGCTACCAGGTCTGGGATTTGGAACTGTGGTCGACTACATGGGAGTCCAGTGACATAGCCATTACGTCAACTGCTGGTCCCAAATATATGAATTTTTAATGTTCACTATATTTATATTTAAATATTTAGATTGTTTTAATTTCTTCTAGAAATGAAAGATTTTAATAAAAATAAGTTTAATGGGATTGAAACAGAATTGTCTTGCTCTGTTTATAGATAGTTTCTAATGGTGATGAACAATTAGAAAAAGCCATGGAAGAGATTTTGAGGGACTCTGAAAAAGGACAAAGCAGTCTTGTTGATTGTCAAAGTTCCACTGAGATTTCAGACCATTCATTTGGAGATGATCCAGTCAGCCAATCAAATAAACCATCTCTTCAGTTACTTTTGGATCCATCTACCACAGGTACTGTATCGCACTCTTTGAAACCATAGGAGAAATGTCATACAGTGATAGTAAAAATTTTAAGATGAAAATTAGGCAGTTCTATTAGCTTTGTGTTATAAGGTCAGCTCCGGGTGAAAGTCCCCACTTTGGTTCTTATGTTTCTGCTTGGATCTCTGCCTGTAAAGTTGGATTTCATTGTTCAATGTCTTTTGAGAACAGGTACTATCTGGGTCGTTATTTTTACCCTCTGGCTTATGGTAGGTCCTCAATAAATACTTACTGAACAAATAAGTAAATCCTTGGGCATCACAGAGAAAAGCTGGTCATGTGGGATCCAGCTGCCTCCACATACTGCTTAACACACTGTACTGTGTGGTTGGCCTGCACTAAATGAACTTTAAGAAGTGTATCTTTAACTGGGTATGTAAGGGGGAAAGAAGAATTTTCTTTCTTGGGCCAGAGTGTGATGTGGGGGCTAAGGTGACTGGATCCCACATGGCTGACTGTAGTTCAAATCCTAGAACCAGTGGCTTGAAGAACATGCCAGGCATTTGTGTGTGCCTGCCCAAAATCCTGAGGAAATGGAGGAGAAGGCCTTACAGCGTGGCCATCTTTTCTGTGGAAGAGTGTTTTCTTATCTCCCCACCTCTCTCTCTCTCTCTTTCCCACAAGCACACACACTATCTGGCAAACTTGAAAAAAAAAAGTGAAAGTATTTCCTTTGTTTATGGTAATTTATTGTACTTTTTTCTGGTTATGTATTTTTAGTTTTCATTAATGAAAAGAAAATGTCAGGAGGTGCATGTGCTTGCCAAAGAGAGAGGAGGGGGAAAAATCTTCCTTCCATCCCCAGTGGGGTGTGGTCATGCTGCAATCTCTTCTCCCTTATTTCTGCACCCTGTAAACACTTTGGGTACATATGCACATGTGCCTGGGGTGTTTTTCAGACCATTGGGCCTGGGGATTCGAACTGAGTAATTGGCTATATGGGATTTGGCTCCCGTGACCACTAGGCCATGAGGTCAGCCCTAGTTTTTATTTTTAATAAAAGGAAATTTTTATTGCTGTTTCATAGTTATAGTATAAACAATTTTTGCTAGTAGAATTGTTATGGTTGGTTTAAAATGACAGATAACGTCAATGGCAATAACTGTATGTAACTCTCTAGACAGCAGTGGTTTAAACTGAACATTAAATATACCGTTTGCCAGTTACAAACTTGAGATAGAGCCTTTGTTGCAAGTTTGATAACTTGATATTTTTCATTTGATGATCTTATATCCTAGCTACTTAAATTCAACTAACAGGAAATCTTGCTGTTTTACTGTTTTTTGCTAACATTTTGCTTATATATGAAGATGAGTCTTTTCTTTCATGCTCTTTGTAGCTCTTTAAAACTTTTTTACTGGGAAATGTATGAGAAAAATTAAAGAAGTGTGACCTGAATAGGACTAATGTGTATTTATTTAAGTGGCATTGAATCCCTTAATAGTAGTGTGTGATTTTACCAGGTCTAAAAGCCTTGTCTTATTAAAAATATTTTTGCTGGGAACCAGCAGTTAGCATAATGGCTATGTCACTGGACTCCCACGTAGTCGACTGCAGTTCACGTCCCGGACCCGGTGGCTTAAAACGCACACCAGGTGCGTGTGCATGCGTGCCCAAGATCCCGAGAGGAGAATGGAGGAGAAGGGATTGCGGCGTGATTTCTTGCTTTATGTCTCTCTGTCTGTCTGGCGAGCGCACACGCCCTATAGCGAAAACCTCTCAAAAAAAAAATTTTTTTTTGCTATTTGCTCATTTAATTGAGGATAGTTACTGATCAGTATTGCGTACATGAAGATTATATTTAATGATACATTTAGTTGTGAAGGGGATAAGATCTAGGTCATGCTTGAGATGACATTTGTGTGCCGTAGTTAGTTGCTGAAAGTACTGCGAGGTTTAAGCATTTTCATTTATTTAGTGTTTAATTCATTTGATATTTTGAGTATCCATACAAAGTGTTTTGTCAGATGATTGACACAAAGTAAGTACTTAATAAAATGTTCATCATCATCATAAGTATGTATTTGAAACTTTAAACCCTGAAATATAATCACATAAAATCTTAGGTCTATGCCCAGTAATTACAAAACATCTTTCTGAAATGAGTTTGTGACTGGATGAAGGCCCACTGAAGCACCATGGTGGAACCCTTGTATTTATATTGAGCAGTGTCTTTCAAAAAACATTTAGATCCTGTTGTACTTCTGATAAAGTAGCTGACACTCAGAGGGGTTAAAGGACTTGCTCATGTGACTGTTATGAGGCAGATAATATAATTAGTCAAGTCTCTGTGACCCAATAGACTAAACATGTGACATACAACAAGAATAGCTTGTTAGGGCCAGTAGATGGCACTGAGGTTAAGAAGGCTGGTTCCCACATGGCTGACTGTGTGGTTTGAGCCCCACACCTGGCGACTTGAAAACATGGGCACATATGTGTGTCCCCAAAATCTTGAGATGAGAAGGGATTTTATGCTACTCCCCCCCCACCCCCCGAGTTTTTCTCACTTTCTCTCTCCATCTGTCTCCAGCGAGTGCATGTGACCTTTAGTAAACTAAAAAAAAAACAGAATAACTTGTCGTATTAAAAGCATTCCAAATTAACCTTTCTTTCAGAAAACACATATGTTCTTACAATAAAGCTATAAAAATTTAGTTTAATGTAGTCTTTATTTTCAATAATGTTGAAAATTCAGTTTTCAAATTATAGATAGACAATACTTTGGTCTGACTTTTTAGTCTGCATAATTACTTTGAGATTCATTTATGTTGATGTGTATCAAAAGTTTATTTTTTAAAAAAAGTTATTGACTAGTATTCTATTGTATGGATTTATCATGTCTGTTTGGGTTGTTTCTAGCTTTTGGCTCTTAAAAGTAAAGCTGCTGTGGATATTTGTAAAGAAGTCTTATAGACATATGCTTTATGAGAACCGAGGAGTGAAATGGCTGAGTCATATAAAACATACAGATTTAACTTTTTAAGGGACTGCCTCACTATTTTCCAAAGTGGTTGTACCACTGACATTTCCAGTGGCAGTTTTAGTATAGGACTTTGCAAATAATTATTGCTGTATAAGTGCTTGCTGAATTAAAAAAAATGCATATTATCATATATTCCTAGAATAACATAATACAAAACAAATAATTTGAATGTGTTTTCAATTTTAAAATACATTTTTAGTTTTGTATCTATCCCCTTCAAAATAATAGTGCATTGAACTGATTCAAAGGGGAAAAAAACCATATTTTAGTGACTCTGGAACATGAAATAGTTTATTTTGAATGGCTTTAGTTTCTCAACAACAAAAAAGTGGTGATGAGAATGTCTATTTTGCTGTAATATGTAGGAGTTGGAGTGAGGAGAGGTTCTAAATGACTTTTGTGAATTATTTATTAAAATCCTTATGAGAGGAATCCTAGTAATGAGAATTTGAACATGCTGCAAGGACTTTATTTGAGTAAGATGGACATCCTTAATGTCGTGCAGCACGCATGGGGAAAGTAGAGGATAAGAGATAGAGATAAGTGGAATGTGGGTTTTAGGTGGGTACATAAGAAAGTGAGTCTGATCCATGCGGTTATATTCTCTCAAACTACAGTTGGGCCTTTGCTGCATGCTATTCTTATATTAAGGTGACTTAAAAAAAACCAACCAACCAAACAAACAAAAAAACCCCCAGAAATTCTTATGGATGGGAGGTAGGATTGGATGAAGCAAACATAGAATCTTTCATCAAAAATAATTATTTTCATGATAAATACTTCATTGGTAGTTACATAGTTCACAGAAACGAGGAAGGAGCAAAATAAGGAGCTTGATTTTTGTTATTGATACAAGATGTAACCTTTTAAAAGCATTTACTTTTGCTTAGGCAGTTAGTTAGGCTGCTTAATAAATGTGGAGCTATGAAGGATCTTTACAGCCAATAGAAACTTTTTATTTTATTTTGATTTAAATTTAATCAGATTTATCTTTACAGTGTACTACACTGCTTTTTCCAGCACAAATATCATGCATATCAGTCAAGATAAAGACGTTACTGTATAAATTATCAACAAATAGCTTTTCTGAGAATTAATTTATTTAATTTTATGTATTCATTTATTTCTTTTAATTTGACCAGAAAGAGACACAGAGAGAAAGAGAGAGAGAGAGAGAGAGAGAGAGAGAGAGCAAGCAAGAGCGAGAGAGAACGCGAGCAAGCCAGCCACCAGGTTCAGGACTCAAACTGTAGTTGGCCATGTGGGTGTGTACAGTGCCTTAACAACCAAGCCACCTGCTGGTCCTCAGCTTTTCATTTTTTTGTTAATTAAATGTACTTTTTTTTTCTTTTCCTGTTCTCCCCCCCTCCCCACTCACCCTGCATGATTCGCCTATCCTTACTTTCTCTGTTATCTACTGTTGTCCTCCTAGCTTCTATACCTCCCAACTTTCAATTTCTGCAATATAGCACAGACATATGTAGTGCAGACAATCAGTATATATTGAGTGGGAAAATACAAAGACCGTCTTTCCTAGTCTGGCTTGTTTTGCTTATCAAGATTAACTTAACTAATTTTACATTTATTTAGTTCTCATTATTTTTAGGCTAATTCACACTGTATTTTGGGTAGTTTTTCCTCATTATTATTATGTATCACTTGAACTTCATCTTTTTCATCTTTTTAAATATTAAGTGAAGACTGTTTTTTTTTTTTCCTTTCCTCCGAAGAAATTAAAGCTAAGTAAGATCGATCATATTTTGAGAGATTTGAAGTATAGTACGTTCAATTCTGGAACTTTGAATAAAGATTTAGGATCAATAATATAAGAAATGAAAATAGACCTACATTTTGTTGGAACTATTTTATTTCTGTTTGGACATTTGGCAAAACTATACTATGGAGTTTTGCATTGACTTTTAAGTGTCCTTTTTTAGATTTCTCTCTTTTTTTTTTCTTTAAATTTCTTTCTTTCTTTTTTTAGAAATTTCTAAACCCAGATCATCTTCTCCAAGTGGACAACCTGAAGAAGATAGTGTCTTATTTAACAAGCTGATCTATTTAGGATGTATGAAGGTTTCTTCCCCACGTAATGAAGTGGAGGCATTAAGGGCAATGGCAACCATGAATCCTTTCCTCCGAAGAAATTAAAGCTAAGTAAGATCGATCATATTTTGAGAGATTTGAAGTATAGTACGTTCAATTCTGGAACTTTGAATAAAGATTTAGGATCAATAATATAAGAAATGAAAATAGACCTACATTTTGTTGGAACTATTTTATTTCTGTTTGGACATTTGGCAAAACTATACTATGGAGTTTTGCATTGACTTTTAAGTGTCCTTTTTTAGATTTCTCTCTTTTTTTTTTCTTTAAATTTCTTTCTTTCTTTTTTTAGAAATTTCTAAACCCAGATCATCTTCTCCAAGTGGACAACCTGAAGAAGATAGTGTCTTATTTAACAAGCTGATCTATTTAGGATGTATGAAGGTTTCTTCCCCACGTAATGAAGTGGAGGCATTAAGGGCAATGGCAACCATGAAGTCTTCCAGTCAGTACCCCTTCCCTGTTACTCTGTATGTGCCAAATGTTGCAGAAGGTTCTGTGAGGTAAGTTACATTTATTTTCCTTAGACATGTAGTAAGTCTTGTGGGTGGTGAGGATGTTCTGTCATAAATCAGGCATAATACTTACTGTGAATTCACTTATACTTTGTGGACATGCACAGTAAGCATTATGTTTAGGCTTAGATTCTGTTCTCTGTTTATAAGTAGCATTTGCAAAGTTATGCTTAGAATATTATAAATGGAAATAAATGGTAAAAATACTTGTAATTTGGATTTTTCCATTTTGAAGAATCATAAAAACCTGCCTTTAGCTTGTGCCATGTAAAAACCTAGAGTGAGCCTTAGGTTTTAAGCTATTTGTATCAGACAGAAAAGAAGAAAAATGGCTTTTTCTGTTATACCTAACTAGGAATAATATATAGTGCCATTTGAAATTTACATTTTTTTAAATGTGTGTCAGATAATGTCATTCCAATACACCGAACCCTTCAGAGGCCTCTAGTCATCCTTGTTATATTTGAAATCCTTGATTTCTAGCCACTGTGCCCTGCTCTCTCCTTCTCTTCTGTCTTACAGGAATTTGAGACCAGCAGATGGCGTAATGGTTAAGTCGCTGGACTCCCATGTAATCAACCATGGTTTAAGTCCTGGACCCAGTGGCTTAAAACTGAAGCCAGGCGCATGTGTGTGTGTGTGTGTGTGTGTGTGTGTGTGTGTGTGTGTGTGTGTGTGTCCTAAATCCTAAGAGGAGAATGGAGGAGAAGGGATTGCAGAGTGCGCCCATCCCCCATGGGGGGTGATTTCTCGCTTTCTGTCTCTGGCAAGCACATGTGCCCTATAGCAAAAATTTCTCTTTTTTTAAAAAAATAGGAAACCAAAAACCAGGAATTTATTTCTTATAGTTCTCGAATCTGGGACTTGCTAGATCAAGTCTTTGGCATATTTGGTGTCTGGAGAGGGCCTGCTCCTTAGTTTTCATGTACCTTTCCTTACAAGGCAGCAGATGTCCTTACATGGTGGAGGGGAATGAAAAATCTCATTGGGTTCATTTTTAGGGTACTAATCCCAGACATGAGGATTTTTTTGTTTGATTTCTCTTCCTTCTTCGCTGCTCCAGAATTATATGCAAGAATATGAGTATGTTTGTTTTCTTGCATTGTTAGTAGCAATAGTTCCCCCTCCTTTGTCCTTTTACCTTCCTCCTCCTTCTTTTCATTCACTGTATTATATTCATACTAGCCTCTTTATTTTTTCTTAGATGCTTATCAGTCATAATTTCTACCTCAGAGCCTTTTAATATTTTTGGCCTAAATAATTTTTCTCTAGTTTTCTACTGGATTAATTTCTAGTTTCACTTTAAATATTTTTATCAAAAGAAGCTTTTCTTGACCACATCTTGTAACTATCCCTCTCTTTCCCCTTAGACTGACTTTTTCTTTTTAGGACAGTTCTTCGAGTTGATACTATTTTTATATTTACTTGGTAATTTTCTATCTCCCTCACTTAGACTGTAAGCTCCCTCGGAGCAGGTTGTTTTTCCCTGCTGTCACTTCAGTGCCTAGAGGAGTACAAATCTGGTCCTCAGGAAAATTTTAGTGAATATTTGCTCAATGAACCTATAAGCAAACCAGGTCTAGGAAATTAGGTCAAATGTGTCCTGAACCTGAAATATTCCCTGAAAGTTGATGTAATCCTTTCTAAAACCCTTTCTGACTTGCCTTATTTTCTAATGTTTAGAATTTAGGAAAGCTTTACCTAAGTTCTGGATACCAGAATACAAATTTACAATATAAATTTACAAAGTTTTGGTAAAAATGCTTGGAGTTTTTTAAACTTTTTTTTTTTTAAGAGGTTTTTGCTATAGGGCGCGTTTGCTCGCCAGACAGAGAGAGACATAGAGACAGATAGCAAGAAATCACCCCCCAGGGGGGATGGTCACGCCGGAATCCCTTTTCCTTCATTCTCCTCTCGGGATCTTGGGCACACACGCACACACGCCTGGCGTGAGTATTAAGCCACCGGGTCCGGGGCGCAAACCGCGGTCGACTACGTGGGAGTCCAGCGACATAGCCATTACGCTAACTGCTGGTTTCCAAAATGCTTGGAGTTTTTTACAAAATATATTGTTTTTATGGTATCTCTTTTTTTAAAGAATTATTTTATTTATCTTTATTTATTTACTTACTTATTTTAATTTGACCAGAGAGAGACAGAGTGAAAGAGGGAGAAAGGGAGAGTGAGAAAGCAAGCTGCCAGGTCCAGGACTTGAACTGCAGTCAGCCATGTGGGAGTCCAGAGCCCTTAACCACCATGCTACCTGCTAGCCCTATGGTATCTCTTAAAGTTGTCAAAATGTCTTTTAATTCTGTTTATAGTTTTAATTTTCCAAACACCTTGAAAAGACATTTTATTTATATTTTTGATTTGCTGCTGTATTATTGGTGGTTCTCCTTTACCCACCACCTCTCAGTTTCTCAGTTTTAGATCTTGAAGGGGTCTTCAATATTTAGATCAATATATGGTTTAGGATTTATATAAGGAAAGTCAGAAAATTATTTGTTTTTAAATCCCACAAACTCTTTTCTGGTCTGGTATTCTATTCTATTGTTGAACTTATCTTTGGAACCATGAGTTAGGGCTTAGATTAACTTACAGGTGCTACTCTGAATAGAAATGAACTTCCTAGAGATGGTCTGTGCTATTCTGTACAAGAGACAGGATTTTAGGGGTGGGTAATAGAAGTGTTTTTTTTTTTTTTTTTTTTTTCATAAGGGCATGTACACTTGCTGGAGAGAGACAGAGAGAGGGAAAGTGAGAAATCACTCAGCCTCCCAGGGATGGGGGTGGGAGTAGCTTGCTGCAGTCTCTTCTCAATTCTCCTCTTGGGATTTTGGGCACAATTTTCAAGCTGTCAGGTCCAGGATTTGAAATGTGGTCAGCCACATAGGAATCCAGCACTTCGGCTCACTCTAGGTTTTTAGACCTTACATGACAAGCTAAAGGTGCCACTTGCTGGTCCTGGTAATGTAGATTTTTACCAGGCAGTGTATACTTAGCTTTGGAGTAAGCAAGTTGGTGCTTGGGAGACACAAGAATGAGGAAATTGTCAAAAGAAGATGAAGAATTTCTATGTGTGTGTGTGTGTGTATGTGTATAAAATTTGCAGGAATATGAAAGATAATTTGTATATTGTATTAGTATTGGTTAATTTAAAATTTTAGAATAATTATGTTTATATATAATATATTGGCAGAGCAAAACCATTTGTTTTTGATCCTTGATAGTTATTATTTTATCTAATTTTTCATTACTGTTCTGCAGAATCATAGACCAATCCAGCAATGTGGAGATAGCATCTTTTCCAATCTATAAGGTGTTATTCTGTGCACGTGGACATGATGGGACCACAGAGAGCAATTGCTTTGCATTTACAGAGAGTTCTCATGGTTCAGAAGAATTTCAGATACATGTTTTCTCCTGTGAAATTAAAGAGGCAGTAAGTATAATACAGTCTGTCAGTTTGCTGCAGAGATAAAGTAGGGTAATCTTTTTTAACTCTAACCTCACTGTCCAAATATTTCATAAATTTGGGGTATGTATTTAAAGACAAAGTTAACATTTGTGATGGCATAGAACTCTCTAGAAAGCTAAGTCTGATCTTTCCATGCCCCATAGACAATGTTTTAGAGCAGTCTCATAGCTTGTCAGGTATAATGGAAAAATACCACTCAATGTGCTATCCTCCCACCCCACTGTGGTAGTAATTGCTTCTGCTCAGGAGGGAGGAAAATGTTTACACCTCTTAATATTTTTTCCCAAGAAGACTGGTCCATGTGATTTAAACAAGTGTCTATAATGATAGCTATTTCTCTGGTGGGCTTGATAGGTGCACACTGCTTTCACTTAGCTTCTACACTAAGATTGTCTCATAGATCTCTGGTTTTCATTAGTGATTATTCGTTATGTGCATTCACTTGGAAGCTGAATTTTGCTCTGGAGAACTGACTTAATTAGAAATACAAATGCTCATATAGAGCAAAGCTATCAATTTGTAATCCTTTGAAGATGTCAATAAGTTGTTCTTAGCAGATATCATCCACTGGTTTGTTCTTAGACTTGACAAAATAATCCCAATTCAAATGGCTAAATTAAACACATGGGGAAATCTCCCTTTTTTTTTTTTTGGAGAGATTTTCACTGTAGGGCGCGTGTGCTCGCCAGACAGACAGAGAGAGACATAGAGACAGAAAGCGAGAAATCACCCCCCAGGGGGGATGGTCACGCCGCAATCCCTTCTCCTCCATTCTCCTCTCGGGATCTTGGGCACGCACGCACACGCGCCCGGCGTGAGTTTTAAGCCACTGGGTCCAGGACACGAACCGCGGTCGACTACTTGGGAGTCCAGCAACATAGCCATTATGCTAACTGCTGGTTCCCGGGAAATCTCCCTTTTTTATATCTATTGAATTCTCCCCAAATTAAAAACAAGTTCTCTTTTTATTATTTCTAGTACTTGTAACCATTTCAAAGGCATTAATAAATGGTGCTGGATGGGCAAGGTCTCAGGTGTGTTTGCTTTTGGAAATATAAATTGTCAGCAGAAATGCTAAAAGCAGCACTTATTTTAGTCTCTGTTTGCCATGAAACATGAATAGCCGTTGTATTAACAGGAATTTTGAGAGTATTTCTGGTTACAAAATGGGTATTCATGGAAATGCAGATTTCTGTGAGTTTGATGCTAAGCATGATGTCAGTTTTTAATGCCTTGGTGATCAGGTTGTTTTATACTAAAATAAACATGCACAGACATACTAATTTCCATTCTAACCATAAAAGTCTCTGTCAGAACTTGTATCTTGTGTGAGAAAGTCAAGTTTTGTGTTTTCTTTTTCTTTTTTAATTTTAGAGAAGTCTAATTATATTTCACCCCAAAACTTACATACCCATGCATGACTTTCTGTTCAAAAAGGTGTGACAGGACAGTAAATGAGTATAAGGGTGCTGCTATTGTGCTTGGCATGTAGTAGCCAGTGCATAAAATATCTGGAAAGAATATGTGTGTGTTTGTGAGTGTTGGGCGGATATTTCTGATCCTTACAAACTCCACTACAGAGGTGGGGAAGCATATGGTAGAGTCCTGGCATTTCATGTTGGCAGTCGTCATTTAACACAGCTGTATGGTTTCTGGATCATTGGAGCTCAACATCAAGGAATGAACTTTGAAGAACTGGAGAACCTGCTGCTAGGAGAGATGGAAAGCTGCAGCAGAGGAAATTGAAAGAGACCTTGGTGCAAGCGTTTTCCATAATTGTGATGGTATGAAATTCTCTTTTTGGGTAATAGCATCCACTTGTTCATAAGTGTAAGAAATGTTATTTGTCAGAGCTTTAACAGTGGGTAAACAGTGGGAAAAATTATGGTAAATTCTTGGCTTCAACCACTGACATTTTGGATATAGTATTAAATAGTGTGAATCATATTTCTAGAGAGCATATTTCATACAGTACAGGTTGTGAGAAAGTGATTTTCATGAATTATTTTTTTAGAATATATTTTTACGTGCCATGCTTTAGGACATTGATAAAGAACATTGTTTGAAGGAGAAATATATGATGCACTGGACTCCCACATGGCCGAACATGGTTCACATTCCAGACCTGAAGACTTGAAACTTACGCTGGGTACCCAAACCTGAGGAAAATGAAGGAGTGGCCATCCCCCTGAGGGGTGATTTCTCGCTGTCTTTGCCTCTCTGGTGAGTGCATGCACCCTGTAACAAAAATCTCTTCAAAAACAAAACAGAAAACCTTATTATGATGCATCACTTTTTATTTTTAGAGAGATTTTTGCTATAGGGTGTATGTGCTCACTGGAGAGACAGAAAGTGAGAAATTCCCCCCCAGGATGGTAGCCACTCTGCAATCCCTTCTTCATTCTCCTGTCGGGATTTGGGGCATACACACACACACACACACACACACACACACACCAGGCGTGAGTTTTATTTTTTTATTTATTTTTTTTTTGAGAGGTTTTTGCTATAGGGCATGTGCGCTTGCCAGACAGAGAGAGACAGAGAGACAGAAAGCGCGAAATCACCCCCCAGGGGGGATGGCCACGCCGCAATCCCTTCTCCTTCATTCTCCTCTTGGGATCTTGAGCACGCAAGCACACGCGCCCAGTGTGAGTTTAAGCCTCCAGGTCCGGGACTTGAACTGCGATGGACTATGTGGGAGTCCAGTGATATAACTATTATGCCATCTGGTGGTCCCCATCAGGTGTGAGTTTTAAGCCGCTGGATCCAGAACTCAAACCAGGTTGTCTATGTGGGAGTCTAGTGACATAACTATTATGCCATCTGGTGGTCTCTGATCCATCATTTCTTAATGAAAGGTAATCCATTATAAATACAGAGTTTATGCCGGGCACTATACTAAGCATTTATTTGTTACTCTTTTTGAAATTTTTTTTAAAGAGGTTTTTGCCTTAAGGTACGTGTGCTCACCGGAGAGAGAGACAGTGAGAGCGAATGTCAGAAATCATCCAGGGGAAATGGCCATACTGGAATCCCTTCTCCATTCTCCTCCTGGGATCTTGGGCATGCATGCATGTGTGCCTTGCATGATTTTCAATCCAGTGGGTCTGGGACTTGAACTGTGGTCAGCCATGTTGGAGTAGAATGATGTGACTGCTATGCCATCTGGTGGCCCTACATTTATTCGTTCCTCTTAGTATCCTGTGACATTGATAGCATTTAGTTAGCTAAGTGAGTTTATATTTCTCTTGGCCTGGAACAGGCTTACTTTATGCAGTCTTACTTGAATACTCTTCTTTGTATCACCAAATGTAATCTGGTTTGGATGATAAATTGTGTAGTTATCCTTAGGCTATCTAACTAAGACTCAGAGAATGGATAATAGAGCTGGGTTTCAAATCGAAGTCCTTGACCTGAAAAGCCATATAGTTTTTAGTGTCAACTTTCCTATTGCTTAAACATTATATATTTTTAAAAAAAGGGTAGATGTTTGTCTTTCAATTATTTATAAAGGAATTTAGCAGACACGTGGTTTACATTCTAGCTATCTTTGTATTGTATCTGATCCTTTTGTAGAAACTGTCCAGCATTTTCTTTTCTCCCTTAAAGAAATAATTATGCTTTAAATTAATCTGAGGTCTTTTAAGTCACATTTACTAGTTGTCTGGCTTCCTGAAGTTTCTTGTTCTGTGGTAGGGAGACAACTTTAGTTCTTAGTATTTGGATCTCTCTTGATTGGCACAAGCAGTTGGCACAGATAGCTTAGGAACCAGGGACAGCCATTCTAGTCACTTAGGTATATAATGTGCTGTAATGTCATTAATTTACTTGTTTTTTATTTTTTTGCAGAGTCCCTGGATCTGAAGAGGTTTGTCAGTTAAAGATAAGAAGTGGCCTTCTCAAGCAGGATTAGCAGCATGACTATTACCAACTGTCACTGGGATGCTCTTACTTCACTGTAAAACCCCTCCAATTGTGGTGGAAGGGAAGACCAGTAAGGATAGTGGCTGTCTTAGATAACAGTGACATAGGATTGGGGCTCCCATACAAAAGTTAGGATACATTTGAATTGTTACCCTGGATGTTCTTCTGCAGGACCCTGCCAGAGTGGATCTAGATAGTTTATGACAGAAAGAGTTGGGCAATCCAGCCAGAAGTATCTTGATGTCAGATTTTTATAGGGAAAAATGATGTGATAGGTTTCTGCTAAAGAATTTTAGAGAAAGCAAGCAATCAGGGAACAGTGAAAATGCCAAGAAAGCACCTATTCTTGTTGTATCTGTATGACTGTATTATACAAAACTTAAAAAAAAAATCACTATATTTTATAGAAAGATTTTTTGCTCTAGGGTGTATGTACTTGCCAGAGACACAGAGAGATAGAAAGTGAGAAATCAACCCTTGGGAGGATGGCCACACCACAATTCCTTCTCCTCTATTCTCCTCTTGGGATTTTGGGTAGCATGCACATGTGCTGGCATAAATTTGAAGCTACTGGGTTCAGGATGCCAACCATGGTCAGCTGTGTGGGAGTATAGCAATGTAACCATTACACCTTCTGCTGGTCCAGTTATTTTTTTAATTTGACCAGAGAGTGGGAAAGTGAGAAGGCAAACCACCAGGTCCGGGACTCATACCGCGGTTGGCCATGTGGGAGTCCAGTGCCTTAATCAGCATGCTACCTGCTGGCCCCTGTATACAACTTTTGAAAGATACTTTTGTGTGACTCTCTTTGAGATTTACTTTCTTTCTTTTCTTTAAATTATTTTATTTTATTTATTTATTTTAATTTGACCAGAGAGGGACATAGTGAAAGAGTTGGAGAGAGGAAAAGTGAGAAAGCAAATCTCCAGGTTCGGGACTTGAGTCATAGTCAGCCATATGGGAGTTCCGCACTCGTAACCACCATGCCACCTACCAGCCCCTTAAGATTTTATTTCTACAGACCAGTGTAACAGTTT